GTAAGAACGACGAGCACATGTGTCGTTCGTATCAGTAAGAACGTTGGAAACGTCTGTCGTCCGTAACATGTCAGACACCTTTTTTTGTCCGTAACAGTAAGAATGTCGGACACGTCAGTCGTCCGTAACAGTAACAATTTCAGTACACACGTTTCAGTAAGGATAATCATTATGCTAATAAATTATAACAATAAAACAGACCTTTGCGTAACAGTCGTCATTTTGAAACCACTTACCTGGAACAGCGCCAGTGATAGGCCCGCACGACTCGTCCTCGAATATCGCTTCCTTATGTGCCATGCACGAATCTTTCAAGGCGTATTCTTTGTGCCGACGTATATATACATAGTCACGGTTCGCGAACAATCTCTGTGGAAAAAAGAACTTTTCAAAAACGTTCTCAACCATCATGGGAACATATAGAAGATTCCCGACCACTCACCGGCCACAACACTTCCCAATGCAACACATCCTGTCCAGCCATACCATTGGCAGTCCTCTCCACGACAGAAAGCGAAGCCACCGCAGAGTCCCACACCTTGCGGTAAGCACCGTCGACTTGTATGGCTGCGAAGTCTTCGGCTTTTATATGTTTATAGCGGCCATATACTGAAAAAGTTGTAAAATATAATCATATATAAGTACTACCGCTTAACTGAGCCGATTCCTGAGGTAGCTATGGTACGGTTACCGTTTTTTGAGCAAAAGCTAAATAACTGCCACCGTGGCCGAACGGTTACCATGCTGATATGCCACTCAGAGGTCCCAGGTTCGACTCCCGGGCCAGTAGAAATATTTGTAAGGCCTACATTTATTTCTCTCGTGAGTTGTAATTTATATTTCGAGGGTGTATAAAAAAGAAAGATTTACCATGTCCTGAATAATCACTCTTTTTAAGATACGACTTTGAGAAAGTAAGGCATCGAAAAATCTTTTGTAATTTAATTGCCGATTCTTCTAATTACTTTATTCTTACAAGATGAACAATGGTGACACTTGGACGTACATAAAATATTCTTCTTAACACACATGCACTTTCCATTATCACATTGCTTTGTACACCTACATTTAACAAATTTTATACATTGCATGATAGACTTTATTTCATACATTGCCTGAAAGTATTAGGTATTTTATGGAATACCTAGGCATATAATTAAATAACTGATTCCGTGGCCGAACGGTTACCATGCCGGACTGCCACGCAGAGGTCCCAGGTTCGATTCCCGGGCCGGGAGAAATAGTTGTATGGCCTACAATTATTTCTCTCGTGAGTTTGGGTGTAATTTGTGGTTGTCTATGTGTGTGTCCATAGCACCCGCGACACAGGGTTTTCCCTAGTGCGGGGCTATGTTGAGTGTGTGCGTTATTTATTTATTTATTATTTATTTATTTACTCTACAGAATAACGGATTACACACATTGCCGATAACATATACTATAATATTTTGTTTTGATTGCAAAATCTGTGAAAAAAGATTGATTGTCAAGTCAACCTGCCATAAAAATCTTTATAAATTATCACAAATACTGATAACAACACATGTATTTTGGTATCACTCGTCCATATGTACCTATCGATTGCGCAATGCACTTATCGCGACGATAATGAAGCAAGGACGTCCGTAATATTCCATCTATTTGGAGAAGTTTAGTCCTTATCACTTGTTAATGTAACAACTAGTTTACTAATGACCGATAATAATACTGCGAAAAGCTTTTAAAACCATGACTATAGTTAAAGCATAGTATAATAAGATTAATAAGTCAATGTCAAAGTCAAATAATCATTTATCATAGGTAAAAGGCTCCTTCACTGTGCCGACTTCTTATTATTGTAATTTTGTAATATGACTTTTCAATTAAAATACGTTTAATGTAAGTTTAAAACTTAGGAAATGGTAGTCTTGATATATGCTCCGGAATCTTATAGTAAAATCTTATACAGTTCCCCATAAAGAATCGTTTACCATAGTTAAACGCAATCGTGGTACCATGAGTTTGAACTTAGGTTCTAAAGTTCATATTATGGATATCTTCTTTTTTCTTAACGAAATTATGTATATTTTTACGGGCATACAAAATATTTGAGTAAATGTACTGTGATGCCACAGTCATGATACCAGTCTCCTTAAACTTTTATTTTTAAGACAAGTTGGACATCTCCCGCGTGGGTCCCAAGTCTGGTAATTTTCATGAAACCGCTGGCCATTATGATTTCCATTAAGATTATATTGTAATTATGACAATATTTGTTATTCTTAATAGAGTGTCAACGGAAAACCAGTGGTGGCATTCATTCATTCAATCACTAACGATAATGTTGCCTTACAAAAACTACTGTACAAATTACACGCATATTTTTTTTTCATATCGCTTAGGCGTTTATCGATTATTAGACGGAGCTACGTTTTTTAACGTTGTACTGAAGTACCTCAGTTTGTATGGAAAACACGCGCCGTCGAACACACTGACAACGCTTCTCCGGCGCGCGCGGTCTTACCGCGCCCCCGCGCGGAGGAGCACGGCAAACTGCAGGGTTGCAGGGCACACTGCGCTCCGTACTACCGCGCAGATTTAAGCTTAAGGACATGTTCAGTTGTCTACAATAGATCTCGACATCGATAAATTTATATTTGCTATTGAAAATCGACCAGACTGATCTCTTTCTTAAATCTTTGTAATGAAGTTGAAATTATCCATTTATCGATCTGGTTTGTAAAAAGGGATGTATCCAATATCTTCGGTGTCTTTTTATTTGAGTAAACAAAAACCAAATAGTATAACTGCTACGTCCTGAATAAATTCTGTATTATTAACATTGACTTACAATTGTATGGACGACGGGTCTAATACAAAAACCACGAAAAAAATGTCCCAAGTCAACCTATTTAAACGTAGTGACATGTAAAAGAATATGAAAAAGCTAAAACGTTGAATTTAAATTGTAATGTCATCGCAGTACTGTCTAATTTTGCTTGCTTCGCTGTCAGCGGAACAAACGAAGACTAAAGCGTGAATGACGCTCTGTATACGATTTTAACGCCCTATAAGTTCGGACACTTGTTAGCGCGGACCCGACGTCCATATAATTGTAAGTCAATGATTATTAACCATTCTTGTCAAAGGAGGATCTCGGCTACATATACAATCACTACGGGCTATCAACTGCGAAGCGAGTACTTTAAGAGACGCGGAGCCGCTAGACCGCTGCCCCCGCGTAGATTAAACCGCGCGTTGACGAAGATCTGCGTCTCCGCCACCGCGTGCGTGATTCCACTGCAGTGGATAATGGTGAAGTGTGATAACCGCCTTAACCAGCAATTTAGTTTTCAAATTAAATGTATACTTTTTATGTCACGTAATTAGTAGACTGCGGCATCGACATGCCATCAGCTCGCTATTGAAGAGCAGAATATCAAAAAATTGCAACAGCGGTTGAACAGTATCTAGTTGGCTAGCCACTGATAAGCAACTACTCTTTACTTTTGGCAGAATACCAAACGCACAAAATCCTGCCATCGACACTCCATTCTACACAACTGTAATGATGTAATGTTTATGATTGAAACATTTTTATTTAAAAAAAAAACCGACGTCAAAAGTTCGTGGAATTACATATCTGTTTGCCAAATTTTATTGAAATCTGTTACCGGAAAGTGCGCGATACCGAATTCATCCCCTAATTTGCCACATTTAGAGGTGGAATATTTTCTTCAAATTTAAATGGGCTCGCTACTGGGGTACCCTCTTTCCAACAAAAAAAGAATCGTCGAAATTGGTTCACAAATGCCGGAGCAGTCGCGTAACACACACACAAAAGTGGTGTGTGGAGTGGATAGCAAGGCGAGAGAAGAAAAAGAAACATTCTGCCGTGTCGACGATGATACTGGGTTTTTGGTATGTCTCACCTTTATAAGCATACAGTCCCCCAGGTTTGTATTCCTTGCGCCATATGATGACATCCTCGGCCTCCATGTAAGGCTCCCAGCCGTCGTAAGACCGTACCGGCGGTTGGGCGTTTTCGCAGCTGCAATTTACAGAGAATACAGAATATTATTTTATGCAGGGTATTAGATTAGTAGGTAAAAAAATTAGGTATGCTGCAATTAAATAACAACCCAATATACAATGGAATAAAGTACATGATCATAAAAATAGATAGAAAATATTAGCAAAACAATTTAGCAGAGCGATATTTATTAATATATTTGTTATTATGTTCAGTGTAATTTCTATCATTTACATATCACAAAATATTTGCCATAAATATGTCACTAATGTCATAGTATAATAAGACTATAATAAGTATGGTAACTCCATACAAACATAACATGGCGGCTTGTATGTGTGCACGACCACCGAGCGTCATGTACGGACGCACACATTCGCATAATAATGAAAGGCGCGTGGGACAACTAGCCCTAGGCAACGCTAGTGCATTGCGAGATTATACGAATGTGTGCACTTACAAGCGGCGCTACTACGTTTGTATGGAATTACCATATTTGTCTGATTAGTAAACAATATACTAACGCCCTCGCGTAACTGTCATTAAAGGGTTTTATGTGAATAAGTCATTAAATCTATTTTATGAACATATTGTTAAAACTCTTATTTGAAACAGTCACTAAAGCTCTATTGAGAACAGTCAGTCTTAGTAGTCGTAATAGATCCATGTGGAACTGAGTACATGGAACCACTGGGAATAAGCCCCGTACATCCATATAATTTTACAAAATAAATATCGACCCACCACTACCACAAGCAGCTACAAGTTATTCCCATCCTCTTTCTAGCTTTATTTTTATGACATCTACATTGATGCTTTATTACACTACACATAAAATTTTTACAATAAAAAAAAATTGTTAAAGCAGTGCTAGCAGCCAATTTTCAGTGTATGTTTTATATAATTCTGCACTAAATCCAAGCAATCACTTACCAATTAAAAGATATCTTTACTCATTAAATAGTTAGAGCCTCCACAGACTGCAGACAAGATAGACCGAATAAACGCAATCAGTGGAAATGGAAAAGGAAGAGCTAGTCTCCAATTGCTTTTTCTTTTTTCAATTTTAAAAGGAAATTTTTTAGCACACGGGCGCAAGTACTTAAAGGGCGACGTGCGCCGCTCGCGACACCTCCAAAGAGCCTGTGTCGCTCGCGGCGCAAGCAAAGTTAACGGAATATTGCTTCCCAATATTATCTAATTGCACCATTTGCACCCAAGAAAAAGGAAGAAAAAATAACAGGCAATATTCCATTTTTGTCACATGCCTACTTGAGGGCAGCAGAGTATTCATTAACCTTAAATTATTTAAAATATGACCAGAAATAGAGACAAAATAAGGGCCATCCATCCCTGGCAACTCATCAGGCAAATGGGCCTTGTGTCACTTTTGAATATCAACTCTTGTAATCGCTGAAATCACAAATTAGAAAGCTGAAATAGTACAGCGCCAACAACTGACCTGTGTGTACATCTCCATATATTGAAAAAATATTCTGTATTTACTGTAATAAAAATACCAATGGGGGCTGTTCCATTCGGTGGTGTGGGAAAAACACCAAAACATCGATGATTGCATCTGGGCCAGTCAATGCTGGGCAGATCATTTTGTCTACAGTCTGCAGACACTTTAAAGATAGTAAGAAGTACAGACTTGCAATATCTCACTCCGGAGTGTCTTGAATCAATGACAACTCTCTTAGCACACCCGATGCAAAAGAGAGTTGCCTTGGCCAGCTCCTCCATGCTCTCGATGTCTGCGATTAGTGCCTTTGACAAATAAGTTGCTATGTTAGTACAGATACCCCAGCCAATACTAAAAGATGCAAAAATTTACACATAAATACAAAAAAGAAGTTTATAACTCTGTAAATTCTTTTTTTTATTAGTCCTGCAATTTATAATAATGTACTAGTTGTTGTTGATGTTTTTACACTGGTATAAAAATAACCCAAAGCTCAAGGTTAAATTGTTGTCAGAGACTGGGTGTGGTCTGTTCAAAATATTTTTAAAATCACTATCATATATTTATAACTTTATTATATATTATATATTTATATCCATGCTGAATTCAGTACTTAAAAACAACATGTCAGCCTCAGGGTTGCTTTCTGATAAAACCAACTTCATTATTAAAGTATAGAGAACATAATTTAGTCAGCTTTAAGCCCAATTTAGAGATGTGATAAATATTTACACATCATTTACCTGCATTTCAGCATCCGATATATCTTTAGAGCAGTGTGTAGGCATGCCGGGTTTTTCTTCATTGTTTTTATAAGCGGCGCTCACCGTCGTAAATAACAACGCGTGTTTGGGCCTCAAAACAGCTTGACGAAACCTATGCCACACATCCCGAACTGTACGGTCTCTTCGACACCTCTTTGTCATTGAATTAACAACAAAACTTCGCGCCCAAGCATTACAAAGTTTTGAAATAACCAAATCTCTAACTAAAACACGGAAATTCATATTCGACATAGTCATAACATTAATGTTAAGGGTACTATTCTTATTCAATATATCGATCCATTTAATCGAGAAATATCTATGAGATATTAACGGGCGGCAACGTATATTACTGTTTCTGTGATTTGTGGTAAAAATATGTGTAATTTTCGTGCTTAACATGTTGTTAGTTATTGCGAAATAACCTCTAATTTTTAGCAATTTTGTTTGACTGACATTGACAGATTATTGGTGTTGCTATATGTGAAAAATAAAACAAATGTAGATTTTTTTCTTCCGTGTTGTTTTTTTGAAAATAACCGGTTATGATTTTATTTAATCTATTCATAATCGAAACAGAAATTAGAAAGATTATACACAATGAGCTTATAAGCATATTAAGTACAATATAAGAAGATCATTAGAATGATGATGCGATATGTGTCTAAGTGTGATGTTATTAATAATCGAGAATATTTTTAATGTAGCGTGCAGCGGGCTCGACGCAAAGTTAATAAGGAATTATTATTATTTTTTTTTTAATTTATTAAGGCTTTGGCAAAGCCATCAGCCTAAACATGAAATTTAATTAACTTTCTGTAAATATGGCCGCCACAAAGAGGACAGGCAATTTGAGGCGGCGCGCGGCGTGCTTGGATTGACTCGGGATTCCTTAAAACGGGCCGATACGGGTATTTAGTTCGAGATTCGTATAATTTCGCGTTTTAATCTTCGATTAAGGCACAATAGCACTATCCTATTCCATTTTAAACAAGATTTCACAAAATAATTGAAAGTAAAAACAAAAACGACACTTTTCCCTCCAAAATACCCAGAGCGAATCATAAGAAATTATTATATAGGCAGAGGAGCAGGGGAACCACAATGGGTTTGTAGCTTAGACTATGGATTCCATCCTCTAAGGTTTGTAGAGTTAAGTGGGTGATAGACGTACGAGGTTAAAAATCGCGGTTTTAAAGTTTGCGTTCTTACTCAGCTCGACGTTCGGCGACACACGACAGATTAGCTTATAATGTTACGCGATGTCGTCCACCGAGGAGGTCTTGTGTTATTTGGGAATAATATCATATCACATTTTGAAAACTAAAAAAAGAAGACAAAATCGGCGAGTGTGCGTGAAGAACTGGCTTACGAAAAGAGAGCATTTATCACATGTAAATTTAGTAAGAGAGTACGTGAAGAAAAGGAAGACTTCCGTAATTACTCAAGAATGCCCGAGTCGTTATACGAAGAACTCTTGCACTTAGTTACACCTATAATAGCTAAACAATTACCTGCATGAGAGAAGCTATTTCATTTGAAACAAAATGGCGGCTCGTTGTTCGCGACGCTGACAGACATGCGAACCGAGGCAGGCTACGAGCAAGATTTCAAACATGTTTGATCGCTAATGGACTTGCGCGGCAGTTTTAAAATTCGCGTACTTAGGGTGACAAATGAGTGAAAAAGGTCGTCGAGCCACAAAGACGCGTATTTACGACGTAAGTCTATCACCCACATTATATGATTGATTATACTTAACGGAGTGCCACGAAAAAATCTCAAAAGAGTCCCGCACTATGTACGAAATACTTTTTTCACTGGATTATTTTATTATTCATTAGAAATCTAAATAATTTAGATTTCTGTGTGTGGAAGCCATTCATTATTATTATACGTCAGTCGTTATGTTTGAAATAAAGCAACATTCACATTAATTTTTACGTTTGAAAAACGTAGAGGGAGAATTGGGTAGAGGGACTCTATAAATAATAAAAACCGTATAAGCGAGATAGATTTAAGCACAGACATATCAGAGTAAACGAGAAAACATATTATATTTATTTTTTGTCCCTTTCTACGTATTCGGTTTTACTCTACGAGCGTTGAGTCATACAACATGACTCAACGCTCGTTGAGTCCAGCAAATCCTTCCAAGTTTTTTATGTGCATATCTTCTATCTTCCACACGCAAAATAGGCGCCTTGACGTCGAGTTGCGGACACCAGCCCGTTGCGCCAAGTACCAAGTACCAAGATGTGCATATCTTACTCTTGTCAAATATGTCCATCTCGCTTCTACCAGCAGTGGTTATAATACGCCAGAAAGAGCGATCAAATAAATTACGTATAAATTAAATTAGACAGGCTTAAGTTGATTTTAGAGGTACCGTGCTTTTGCCACTATCTTTTCCCCAGTTTATGGGTCATTTTAAATATTGATTTTTTTAAACTTTTCAATACTTTTTCAGTATTCTTTTTCAACGCTTGTTATTTTGCTACTTACATGTGGATTAACAGATTTCAAATAAATAGTTGCCTGGAAGAAATTGCTACATAGCAATAAGGCCGCCTGTTGCACATTGACTTACTACTACTATTATACTTAAGCTATTGTATTTTAATTGTAATTTTATGTGCAATAAAGAATATTTCATTCATTAATTCATTCAATTGTCAGTTGGTTTTAAGTGTGTGACGATGTGATCTCCTTACATCGTCATCCCACCTTTTACGGACGCACTACACTGTAAAAAAGTTATCGGTAAACAAGAAAAAGTTCGAAATATGTATACTAAGTTAATACTGTTCAAGGGCCAATAAAAAAGTAATGATTTGTCATAATTGTTTTATTTGGTTACTAAAACTCAACCAAGCAAATGTGGTCTGGAGGATTCTCCCTCCTTGGGACTCGGCAGATTTCATCATTATCATGAACCCATTTATACGTTCCACTGCTGGGCACGGGTCTCATCTCAGGCGAGTGCTTAGGCGACAGTCCACCACACTAGCCCAGTGAGGGTTGGGGACTGCACACGATTTCCGAGGACTTTAAACCTTCTTTAACGTTTCATCACGATGTTTTCCTTCACCGAAAAGCTCATGATAAATTTCAAATTAAATTTCGCACAAATTCCGAGAAACTCAGAGGTGCGATTCTGGATACGAACTCACGACCCTCTGCTTGAGAGGCAGTAGGTGAAACCATTAGGCTATCACGGCTTCATTTTCATTTCAATTTCTTTAACGGGGTAAAATTTTAAAAGTAGACAACCCAGAATTTATAGGTACTCTGTTGGTATCCCTTTTCAGTATACGCTAGAAGCTTCTCTATTCTTTTTTTTTATTCTCTACGCTGAAAAACGATGTAGTTTTGTGAAGAGAAAAAACTATACATTTTTGTTTCGAATATTTAAATTGTAAATTTTTTTTAAATTTTCATGCTAAGAATAGTGTAGATTTGGAGTTGATTCAATATTCAAATGAATATAGAACATTGACTTACAAATAAAAGTCAATGATACAGAATAAAGGTTGATTCGCGTTACACCGTGCCGGGGTCGGGCCGTCACAGTGCTCGTGTCGAAGTGGGGATATGAGTAGGAACTACTGGACCCACTAGTGGAACCAAGCAGTGGGTCCAATAATCCTAAAGGTCGTTTCATGCCGTGTCGTTTTTTTTGTTATTTCTCATTTTTCTCTTGAATGGTAAGGTTGTGTTGTTAATGCAATTTTCACAACTCGAGTTGGCAGCTATTGCAATAGCTCTTGATGACGAACTATTGGAAACACAAATTGAAACTAGAAAAAGAAGATGGTGTGTATATCCTGCCTGGAGAAAAAGAGAATTCGATGGTAATACTCGACTAAATTAAAAAATGCTTGATGCGAATGAAGTTTCACATTTGACGTTGCCTTTTGATTTAGTCGTATATTACTTATTTCACGGAATTGTTTCAGACATGTGTTAATCCAAAAAGGGCACCACCAATAAAAAAAAAATTGCAAATTGACCAATTTAAATGAAAAATGGAAGCTGTGACATATAAGCTAGTCAAAGAAACCTTTACTGAACCAACAAGAGACTTGCTCTTAAATCTATGGCAGAGAGGGACAGATAACAGGACAGAAATTATTTAAAAATATAACATCTTATTAATCAATATTTATTTCATTTTCAGGAATGGCATAGAAATTGATATAGGCCATTAAATTAATCAGTACATTAAAATTTAGTCTTTCATATAAAAGACTCACCACATTTATACACACGGAATGGCCTTGAGCCGGCCAGAAAAATTGTTGTCCATGTAATAAGAGCAAAAAACCGGATCATTTTCAATCCCGTTCATTGACTACATTTAAAAGGGAATTGCACACTTGGCTACTAGAGCAGTTATTCTACTAGATTGACGATTTTTTTAAAATATACAGGTGATTGATCCCAAATCGATGCATATATTAATCTTTAAAATACAATATTATTATCTTGTTTTAGTTCAATCAATTTGTTAATGAATTGTATATTTGCATGCTCTTATTTAAGGCTAAATAGGATTAAGTTCTGCAGACTAATTTTACCACTAACATTTATAATGTAGTCACCCTATTTAAAGCAAATAAACAATATTCCATTGTATTCTAAAAAAAGAGGGAATTTACAAGTTTGAAGCCTTTGTCTGGGTATACAAATACCTCAAATCTGTCTGTGACATAATGGAAACGCGCCCTAACTCATTTAGAGCATAAAAGGTCACATTACACACAGTTGGACAATATTGTTAGGCAGCCTTCAAAAGTGCGTCCAGTTGTGCAACGGCTAAGGTTGCTTTTCGTAGAGACTCGGCCTGTTGCTTGCTGCTTTCAGTAAGAGCTGTTAGACTTTGTTTTAATGTTGACAGTTTTGTTGTTACTCGTTGCTTTTCTTCTGTTAGCAGCTGGTGGGCTTTGTCGCCTGGAGAATGAGAAAACAGGATTAGAACAAACAGATGAAAACAAGAACACTCACAAGAAGCACTTTTTGGGTCGCCAACCACAGTTATTAACGCAGAATCAGAAAAAGTTTTATCATATACGCGTTCCATC